CCTGCGGCTGCTTCCCAGTCCCAACTCAGTGAGGGCTCACAATGGCCAGAAATGCCACTGGACCTGCTGGCAGGCCCCCAGCAGGCCCCGAACCACAGTACAGGCCCAGGAATAGGATTTTGGAGCAAGGCCTGACATCCTCTGCAGATTATGACTCTTCTTTTGAGAGACGACCCTTGACCTGCTTCTGGGCCTTACTAGAAACTGAACGCTTGGCCAAAGGCTAACAAGTTACCGTATGACCTGTGCTGCCTGTCATGAACTGGGTGTCATCTGACCTACAAGACGTTAAGGTGGCCTGCACAGCAGCACTCACTCCATCATCAAATAGAAGTGGTATATAGTGACTGGGCTAAGCAGGGCCTGAAGGCACAAGTAAGTTACCTAAGAACTGGCCCAAATACCCATGGTCCCCACTCCTGCTATACTGCCTTCCCTCTCCAGCCTGCACCTATGGCCTTATGGGGAGTTCCCTAGGATCAGCTGACAGAGGAAGAGAAGACACGGGCCTGGTTTAGAGATGGTTCTACACTAGATGCAGGCATCACCCAAAAGTGCACAGCTGTGCACCTGTCGTACACTTTGCTTAGAAGGAGAAATGGCCAGACGTGCGATTATATACCGATTTATGAGCTATGGCCAATGTTTAGGCTGGATCGTCAGGGACTTAAAAGGAGTTTGATTGGAGAACTGATGACAAGGAAACTTGGGGAAGAGGTATGTGGACAAACTTCTCTGATTGGACAAAAAAAAAAAACTTGAAGATATTTGTGTCCCACATGAACACTCACCAAACCTCAGCAGAGGAGGACTTTAACAATTAAGTAGACAGGGTGACTTATTCTGTAGATACCAGTCAGCCTCTTTCTCCAGCCACCCCTGCCATTGCCCAATGGGCTAATGAACAAAGTGGCCACAGCTGCAGGCCTGGAGGTTATGCATAGGTTCAGCAACATGGACTTCCACTCACCAAGGTCAACCTGACTATGGCCACTGCACTGTGAAGGTAGAGGGATGCACACATTTTCATATAACTCACTGTTCACAGCATGGGCCCCATCACCCTAAGACAGCTGGCTTCACAGAACCTTGCAACGGCCTTCTGAAGACTCAGTTACAGTGCCAGCTGGGTGGCAGCATCTTGCAGGGCTTGGGCAAGGTTCTCCAGGACTCAGCAAATGCTTTGAATCAGCATCCAATACAGGCAGCCTGTGTACTGCATGGCAGTTTGGGGCCATGATCATGACCATTCAAGCTGTCACATGCACGACAACTTTAATAATCAATGGGTAATATTGTAACTGTCCCCTGACCCTCAGAAAACTTTGCCAAAATGTCAAAAACCCTTTTACTATTGGTTATAAATACATAGAGAAATAATAAAATTAATATTTACTTAGCATACTTGGGACAGGCATAGTTTTAAAATGGTACCTAAGATTCCTTACCCTAATTCCTGGGCCAGTGACTATGATGAGATGTCATAGCCATGATTATGTGACATGACATTGCATGTCACGAAGCTCACCAATCAGGTGACTTTGAGTTACTCAGAAAGGAGCACCTGGTTTACCTAACATATCACATGAGGCCTTTAAAAGCAGAGTTTCCTTTGCTGTGCAGAAGCTTTGTAGTTTGATATAATCCCATTTGTCGATTTTTGCTTTTGTTGACTGTGCTTTTGGGATCACATCCAAAAAATCATTACCCAGACCAATTTCATGGAGCATTTCCCCTATGACAATTAACAGACTGAAGAAATACCAACACATTGAGAGAAAATATTTGCAAACCAAACATCTGATAAGGGGGTAATATCCAAAATATACAAGGAACTCAACTCAGTAACAAAAAAAACCCCAAATAACCCAATTAAAAAATGGGCAAACAACCTGAACAGACATTTCTCAAAAGAAGACATATAACTGACCAACAGATATATGAAAAAATGTTCAACATCACTTATCATCGGGAAAATGCAAATTAAAACCACAATGATACATCACCTCACACCTGTTAGAATGGCTATTATAAAAAAGACTACATAACAGGTGTTGGTGAGGATATGGAGAAAAGAGAATCCTTTACACTGTTGGTAAGAATATAAATTAGTACAGCCTTTATGGAAAACAATATGAAGATTTCTCAAAAAGTTAAAGAAAGAACAACCATATGATCCATCAATCGCACTTCTGGCTATATATCCAAAGAAATTGAAATCAGTATGTTTTAGAAATGTCTACACTACCATGTTCATTGCAGCATTATTCACAACAGCCAAGATATGGAAACAACCTAAGTGTCCATCAACAGATGAATAAAGAAAACGTGGTACATATGCACAATGGAATACTACTCAGCCATAAAGAGAAAGAATTCCTGCCATTTGCAAAAACATGGATGAACCTGGACATTATGCTAAGTTAAATAATCCAAGCACAGAAAGACAAATACTGCATGATCTCACTTCTACATGGAATCTAAAAAAGTCACACTCAGAAGCAGAAAGTAGAACAGTGGTTGCCAGAGTCCAGGGAGTGGGGGTGCAGGGGAAAGTAGAGACATTGGTGAAAGGGTACAAAGCGCAGTTAGGAGAAATGAATTCCAGTGATCTACTGCACAGCGTGGTGACTACAGTTACTAATAACGTATTGTGTATTTCAAAACTGCTAAAAGGGCAGATTTGAAGTGTTCTCACCACAAAGAAATGATAAGTGTGTGAGGTAATGAATATGTTAATTAACTTGATTTAATCATTCTACAATGTACATATACATATACCATAACATCACACTGTACCCCATAAACATATATAATTATGTTTTGTCAATTAAAAAATTAAAATCAAATTTAAAACAGAACAAAACAAATCAGAGAGTTTTCTGGTGGCAGAAGAGAAGCAGAGAGGTGAGAGGCACCGGGCAGGATGTGACACACCATTGCCGGCTGTTGCTGGCTTGCAGACAGAGGCGGCCAGATCCAGAGAGCAGCGCCTGGGAGCTGAGAGCCACCCTTGTGACAGCCAGCAAGGACAGGGATCTCAGCCCTACAACCACCCAGAACTGGATTCGCCAACTACCCAAACAAGCTGGAAGTGGATTCTTTCCCAGAGCCTCCAAAGAGAAAGCGGGCGGCAGCACGTACACTCTGGCTCAGGATGCCCTGAGCAGAAACAGCTAAGACGAATCTGTGTACCTGGAAGTGGGGTGCTGCTATAACAAATTCCCAAATGGGGAGCAGTGTGGAACTGGGCAGTAGGGCGAGACAGGAAGAATTCAAGGGGCAGGATAGAGAACACATACCTTGCAGATTGCAAACTCCACCATCATGGGAGGTCAAATCCCCACCAGGAACCCTTTCTGTACAGGAGGGACATGTTTATACCCTCATGGTTCAGCTCCTCTAAGTGAATCTGGCTGATATTGGGGAGGTTTGCTGGGCTACCAGAGAAGGAAGCTTTTGGTTCTTTTGAAAGACAAGACATGTGGGGAGACACTGTTTCTCCTTCTGGACATGTGGTGGGTAGACATGAAGCTAATGTCCACCTTCAGGGAGGCCAGCCTTGGGCTGAGGCCTGCACTGCAGGGGGCAGAGAGGACCCAGAAAGAAATAGGTCCCAGACGGCAGGATGAGTCATTTGGATGAAACCAACCTGGGGCTCTCCCTCCTCTGGTTTTTCTGGATACATGAGCCAATGAATTCCTTTTATCACTTAAGACATTTTGAATTGGCTATTTAGTTACTTGCAAAATATCACTTGCTGCTCCATGCACTTTCCAGAGGGTGGAGGCAGCTTTGGGAGGCTGGCCGTCCTGGTCACACCCTCAGTGAGGGAGCTGTGACTCCAGCCCCATAGTATTTCCAGTCCTCTTCAGTGCTCCTGTGAATGTGTTTGATCAAATAAATAAGAGTAAAAATATTTCTCCAGACACTGAATGATGATCACAAAGACCAAATGTGCAGCTGGGTCTGGTTTGCTAGGAGCTCTTAAAGAAGCAGGAATATGTAAATGATAAGGAATGAATGTCTGTTATTTTTAAAATGGCCTACCCTTTTTTTTTTTTTTTACAGTTAATTTCGGTAACACTTGTCAGTTCTTTTTCATAAGCAGAAAAAAAAATGTACATTCACAGACAAAAAGGAGCATGAAAAATAGCTTGTAGTAAGACAAGGGGGAAAAAAAAAAAGATAGCTGTTCTCATATGAACAATGGAAAATTCCCCAAGAATGTGACCTACAATTAGATGTAGACCCAGCAAGCTATTTGTTGTCACACACCTCCTCAAAGCATGCTGTCAAGGAAGAAACGAATGACAGCGACACTGTTTCAAAAACTGACTGTAGCAACAGCAGGAGAGCGAGCCTCCTGGAATCCGCCACTGCGGGGCAGGGCTGTTCACAACATGAGCTGAATTTAAGAAAAGGCCCCCAACAGCGTGAGGAGCCCACAGACCACAGCAGGGCTACAGTGCAATCTGAGAGCAAAACACCGCGGTACATCTGGACAGACTGCGGGCAGGATGCAGGGGGCCACCCAGCATCACAGATGGTCAGTCCACGACGGAGGCTTGGAAGACGTCGCCTGCATTGTGCAGGGGCTTAAATGATTTAGACAAACAGGACAGGTGCAATATATTTAGGTCTATCATTTCCACAGCTACATCTATCTCCACTTGGCCTTGATCGTGCTGCATAAGGCATGTAGGATCTAAAAAGAACATGCCCAGGGCGTGTGAGGTGACCAGGAGACAGGCGAGTAAATGCATGTCACAGCACAGGAGAAGGAGCCACGTGGAGGGAGCAGGGCCTTGATGGGGTGCCAAATGAGGAAAGAAATTCCACACGACTGCCCACATACACCACAAATGAGCGGCACTTCCAGGAAGCCCTGATGACACTCAGTCCTGGATGATGGTTTCATTCATTTCTAGCCCATTTATATGAAAACAGTAATCTTATTAGAAGTGGGAAATTTCAAAGCTTACCAAACTAAATGTCACCCAATCTACAGAAGTCTAAGAGCTGGGAATGTAGTTTCAATAAATAGCCTTTTATTTTTTAATTCAAAAAAATCAGGATATTACCTAAAAACAATGACAAAGTTATGCTAATAAAACTAGATTTAATCTTTTCAATAATTATGCAAAAATAATGCTGGATATGGCAGAAGTGGACTCTTGGGGGAGGCTGTGGAATGGTACATTTGAAAAGGAAGGCTGAGGTGTGCCAAAGGCATGCAGGATCAGGAAAAACAGGGAGTCCTCACCAACGAGCTGCAGATGGTAGAAGGCTATGGAGATCAAGCCTTTGCTCCAACAGCCCAAGAAGCAGAAGTATCAGGCCTGTATTGCCCACCTGGAAAATGCCCCCTCCTCCCAAGTCTATGGCATGAACACACATAAACTATCCCTCTCTTGTGCCCTGCTGGACTCTCCATTCTAGGAGAATGGGATCAGTATCTTCTGTTCATTTATCTAACAGATATTCATCACCTGCCCATTGTGCCCACTGTGCCCCAAACAGCACATGGTGCCCAGTGCAGGACTGGGGCTTAATGAGCACCTGCTATGTGAGCAGATTCTTTCTACCTGTCCTGGAGGGTGAGGGGACAGAACTGCCTCCACTGTCCCACCTGTCCTGCTGAGAGGGCAGGCAGAGACTACCCACCTACCTGGACCAGGCGATATGCAGGTACAGGACACAGGCCACCCACATAACTGGACGATGTGATGTGCAGGTACAGGACACACAACACCCACATACCTGGGACCAGGTGATGTGCAAGTACAGGACACACAACACCCACATACCTGGGACCAGGTGATGTGCAGGTACAGGACACAGGCCATCCACATACCTGGACCCAAGTGATATGCAGGTACAGGACGCACATCGCCCACATACCTGGACACGGGTGATGTGCAAGTAGAGGACACAGGCCACCAGGAAGCAGATACAGAACACGAGCAGGAGCAGAACGGCCACACTTCTGCAGGCAGAAGACATGTGGGTCACTGCTGGGCAGGGGCAGGGTGAGGTGAGCCCAGAGGTGCCTGGGAATCAGCCCCTCCTCCCTTCCCCCACATCTCTCAATGCCCTGGCTGCCTGCCACTTGAGTCTCTGGGGACTTGCCCACAGCTGGTTCTCTTCTAGGAGAGGGCATCTGGGGCTCTCAAGTTCACCCCCCAACCTCTACTACTCTCACCCCCAAGATCTAGATAGGCTGAGAGTCACACAATTTTTCTGGAAGCCCCTTTCCTCATAACGGAAAGACAGGAGTTTCCCAAATTTCGCTGAGCTGTTCACTTGCTGGGCCTTGCTGGGAAAGAATTTTTTTAGAAAAAGCTTGGCCCCCAAACAGGGCCATCAGACAGGTTGCTGTGTTAACAGTGTCTGGTGGGTTGGAGTGGGGTGCTGAGCACCTAGGACCGAGGCCCCTTCTCCTCAGCACGTGGGGGGACTTCCATGTGCTTTCCAGAAACTCAAAGGAAACATTATTCCTGTGGGAAGTTTTAAGAAACAGGTATGTCTGGAAGAAAAGTAACAACTGGAGACTTTGTGGTATCTTCCTTGCCAAAAACAAAAGCCACTAAACTCACGTTGACTTACATGATGATCAGACATTATCAAAATTACTATATTTTGGGCTGGCCCGGTGGCGCACTGGATAGTGCGCCGCTTGGGAAGCGCGGCGGCGCTCCCGCCCGAGGGTTCGGATCCCACATACAGACCGGTTCCCGCTCACTGGCTGAGCGAGGCGCGGGAGCAACACCGAGGGTTGCGATCCCGTTGCCGGTCCCGGTCCGGTACGGGGGCGACACTGAGGGTTGCGATCCGTTGCCGGACACGGAAAAAGACAAAAAAAAAAAAAATTACTATATTTTTCTCTTTTTTTTAAGAGGCCACTTTTTCTCATTTTAATGTTTTTGAAAATGACGTGGACCTAGAAATCAAAGAGCCCATTCAGTGCACTGTTTTCTCCCTCAAAAGCTATCACTAAAGCAACACGCAACAGTTCAGGTTGTGCAGACAAAGAAACTAGAAATATACGGTGTCTCAGAACTGAGTAAATTCAAAATCAAAAATTGAAAGAGCCCCGTCCAGGCTGTCAGCCATCCAGGCTTGGTACACTGTGGACGTGAGTACATGGAGCATTGATGTGTGGCTCACGTCTTCCCCAAATGTCAGGCACAACAGTAGAGGAGCTGTGGGAGGTGAACCCTGGCACAGTCACCAGTCCCAGACACCAGGACTTCTCGGTCGCCTGCCCACCTTGCTGACGGGACAGGAACAGCACTTACTGTGGGATTATCAGAAGGTAGACGAGGCCGAATAAGGCAGCCAGGATGAGGGCGAGGACGACGGCGCTGGTGAAGTACTCGTCCTGCAGCTGGTGGTACTGCACGAGACATCGGTCGTCAGGGGCCGCCAGCCACCAGGAGACGCGCCTTCCAAGACGCCCCGGGGATGGCCACCGCGAGTCACGTACCTTCTGCTCCCGCTCAGCGTGCTTGTACTTCAGAGTGACCACGTTGAGGTCCGCCATCTCCAGCTCCGTCTGGCGGGCTTCTAAGAGGCGGCTGATGTACCTGTTGACGCGAGTGCCCGGCGTGCTGTAGACCACGTTGGTGGAGAAAGACGAGCGGTTTCTGAGTTTTTCTGAGGCTGTTCTCAATGCCCTCCGCTGCAGCCATCACAGAAATAAAGGAAAATCGTCAAATTCTCCACTTTAGGAAGAAAAGCACTTGTACTTTCCCTCCAGCCTATATCCCCGTCCAGCGCAGGCTGGGATTGGGTTTGGGGATCTGAGATGCAGTCGTGGCTCTGCCCCTGCTGGTGGGGAGACTTCATAAGAGTCATCTCAGCAGCCGATGGTGGGGTTACACGTTTGTCCAGGGGTTACGTGACACCCTATGTGACGGCATCGTGGCAAGGGTTATGGAACTCAACAGGAATACAGTGGGTGGACAGCGCCCAGTGCAGAAAAGGCACCTGTGCTCACCAAAAGCCCAACATCCACATAAGCAGAAAAAGACGCCCTAGAGTCACAGGAGCAGGAGTCCAACTCGCTCCTTCTAAGAGGGAGAAACGGTGGCAACAGACATGCCTCCACCACCTCTCACTCCAGCCAGGGCTGATGGGAGAAGGTGTGAGCCTCTCCTCCACATCTTCCGTACGTCACAGGAGGGACATAAGAAAGCACCCCTTTGCCAAAAACAATAGAGTCTAATTTAAAGCCACCTGCTGTGATCTCATCAGTCTTCATAAGCAAGGGCTCGGGTATTTAACATATTGGAGGAGAAAATAAGATTAAAAAGATGCTATCCATGTGATTCTAGAAAAGATGGAATAAACACACTTCTTTTTATCCCTACTGAATGATAAAAGCACTGACAGTATATATAAAATAAAAGCAAGAAGACTGTGAAAGGTGAAAAAAAGAAGGAGACCTCTAGGGACCTTGGGACTCAAAGAAAAACAGTGTATGTGTATGTGTGTGGGGGGAGAGGGACCAGGAGAATCCCTTGTGGTTTCTTTTTGCCATATTTATCTCAGACTAGGAACTGGAGAAGCCAGCAACCTAAAAATGCCAATGCGTGCAGACAAAATTTGTAAAGCCCCAAGAAAAACCTGTCCTCTCTAGCCAAAGGACCAACAATGGGGCAACTCAGCGAAACAGAAAACTTCTATTTAGACAATAACTACCCTACTCTAACCATCATGGAAAAGTCAGTGGCACCAGTCCCACCCAGGCCAGCAGAGGACAGCAGGGCAGTCTCAACCTCTACTCTCATTAGACTGCAAGGAGGCATACCCTAGCCCCCATGAAACAGCACCAGAGAAGGCTGAATCTGGAGTTGAGATTTTCAACTCCACTACGCAGCAATGAGCCCCACTTATAATGCAAGTAAGTACATTGCAGTAGGGAATGCAGATTCCCTACTGGAAAATCTGAATTTCCAAATGTGCTCAACAGTCAAGATGCCCTGTCCCCCAGATGTCATGGAGGACCAGTGGAGAACCTGGACTTCCACCTACACCTGGCAATAAGAGGGCAGCACTCTCATCACCCCACTGGTGCGGAGTCCGAGGAAGCCTGCTCAAACAGAAGACTTCAATAAGATCCAGAGTCTCATAACAGAGTACCCCAAGTGTCTAGTGTACAATAAACATAAATCACTCATCATCCCAAGCCCCAGAAAAATCTCAACTTGAATAAGAAAGACAATCAGCAGATACCAACATCAAGATGACACAATTGTTACAGCTATCTCACAAAGATTTTAAAGCAGTGATAATTAAAATTCATTAAGAAGTAATTAAGAACACACTTAAAACAAACGAAATATAGAAAGTCTCAGAAAACAAAGAGAAGGTGTAAGGAAGAACCAGATAGCAGTTATAGAACAAAACCATACAATAACCAAAATAAAAAAAATCCAATGGGTGGGCTCAACTTCAGACTGGAGTGCACAGAGGAAAGAATTCCTGGGCACGAAGACAGAACAATAGAAATTATCCAATCTGAACAATATAAAGAAAATAAACTTTAAAAAAAAAGAGCCTCTGAAACTATGGGACAAAAATGAAAGATCTAACATTCATTCATGTCACCAGAGTCCCAGAAGAAAAAGAAAAAGAGTATGGGACTGGACAAGTATCTGAAAAAATAACAGCAGAAAATTTCCCAAATTCGGCAAAAGATATAAATTTACAGATCGAATTA